AAGCCAAAAAGGAAGAGAGAAAGAAAAAAGGTGAAAAGAAGCATTAACTGCTAATGCTAAATCGTTATCATCCTCATCATAATCATTGACCACTGAGGATGCCGACTGATAACAATAATTTATTTGCCACAATGGTTTTACCATGGATTACAATATTTACATGTAAATTTACACCATTTTAAGAATTCACGAATACCATAACTCTGCTACTAAGTTCCATTGATATTAAAAAGCCCGAGAGTGAATTACAAAGTTTGGCAACATAACCTATTAAAAGATACAACCAATGCAGTCAAAAGCGTGATTCTACATAGAAGCGGTTCTTCTCTTCTCTGATAGTTCATTCCACCTATGCTAAGAAAAGGAGTTCCTGTATTCAACCTTCTTCAAGTTGAAGGCGAGATCAACATCAAGTAAAGTACTAAAGTCAGGGTCAAGGAAGGCTTTTTCTTTAAGGAAGTGGGTGACCTAGAAGCGTAAAACCGTAAGCTTTTAAGTTTTAAAGCGTAGATTTTGACTACATTTGTAAGGGAAAATCACGATTCTATGTAGAAGCGTTTTGGTGAGCTAAAAACGTAAACTTTCAAATTTTAAAGCGCGATTTTGACTGCATTGGATACAACTAAGGACACCAAATGCCCAGACTGAACAAAGTTTGGTATGGATATCCTGCTTTTTGTCATGTTATGAAAGGTTATTGCATCTTTTGCTAAACAGGTTTCCCTAATCATACTTAGTATCCCATTCTCGCCTGTCCAATGAAATCCATGCCAACCCAAATATAGAATCCCAATACTAGCCATTAGAGAGTGAGAGACCATAATAGCACAAGGAAATAAAAGGATTTTCTATGGCTGGGTAATACAAGTGGCAAATGAAATTGGATTTATAGATTGGTAGATTAATGAATTTGATTAAATGGATGGTATCCAAGTAGCATCTAAATCTTGAATTATTATGAAAATTTTGAAAAGTTTAGCAGTAAAATGTTATTAAAAATATTTTAGGTACCAAAATGAAATTTTTCAATAATTCATTTTCAGTAATTCATCAATCCACTTATTCGATTGAATTTTAATTAAATAAATTAGATTTAAATGAATTGAATTACTTCAATTTTTTAGTGGATGTTGATTGGATTCAAATTGCCAAAGCCACCAAACGATAATAATGGGAGGACAAAACTTTCGAAAATGAAGACCTAACTCCCTCTCTCTTAGGACTCATCGAAAAACATCAACATTGCATCGGTAAATTGACCTTTTATTCACGAGTTTAAAGTTAAACCAGAAAAAATTGCGTATCAAGGAGCAATCTTCATCTCGATCATTAGTATTCATCCTAAGAGACCATCATGCCGAGTAAAGTATAATGAGTGATTAGATATAGGAATGGAAATGGGATAAGTCAAGGTGTTGTGGATATCTCGATACTCATATATGTTTCTTGATGGGTCGGATATTTTGTTTTGAGAAGCTGGTCGTGTCAGGTTCACCAATTTAGGTATGTAATTTAAAAAAAAAAATTTGACCAGGTCCTTAAGAGTATGTAATTTAAAGTAGGAAAAAAAAAACACATGAAATATTGATATTTTTCATTAATAAGTCAAGAAACAAACTATGGCATGATACATGTAATTATACTATTCAAGAAGTTGAGTTTCTCACATATTTACACCTTTATCATAGCTAAAATATGATGTAATAAAAGTAAAATTACGTATAATTAAGATAAAACGGGTTAAAGATGAAGTGGCGGGTCTGGGTAGTACTCTCTCAGAACTGGTCCAATAGGACAGGTCGAAATTATCATTTCTACTTAGGAAATGGAGGGCCACACCCTTTTATGGTCCCATTTTCCTTCCATCGCCATCAGTCCATCACCACCGCTACTATTGTCTTAACGTCTAACGCCTTGTTCAACCTTGCAACTAATAGTACGAGACGGTGAATTACATAACAATACTAATATATCTAGCTAGGAGGAATGAACACCTACTAAATCCTATTGGTCATTCACCAACACTATCAAAATCATCAAACCGAGTAAACTACAATGAGTGCTTAGGCAATGGAGTGCGGTACTCATGGAAGGCCACACCCTTTTTTGGTCCCCATTTCCTTTCCTTTCCTTTCCTTTCTCATCACCACCACCACTATCGTTTACTAGTTATTGTGACCTTTCAATCTTCATCACCTTGTGTGGCGCGGCCCAATCCCGTCCCTATTGGGATTCCACTCCCACCAATAATAATATATAGTTTTTGTAATAAAACAATAAATATTCCATATTTTCAAGGAAAAAGCGAAAAGAAAATTAATTTTAATTAAAACACTAGAGAAAAAATATTGGCAAGTTGAGTGTTCTTTCGGAACTCTTATTCCGTATCGTTGCTGGTACGAATCTCACTACCGCTCAAAGGGAAAACACTGATAATTACTAAAGGTTAAAGAGGGAGAAGATGATGAATATGAATGATAATGATGGATCGAGCATATATATTAACACCTATGGCTAAGTTTAAAAAGAAAAAGAAAATTCTACATTTTGTAGAATAATAAAACTCATTATTGTTTTATATTTTTATGCAGCATATCCGACCATTAATTATGTTGTCCCAATTCATTTCCCAGAAGCCAATTTATATATTTATTATTAGTTTAATACTGCACATGACACGCCGATATATTTATGGGCCACCTTTATAGGCTATTTTGTCATATGGAAATCTTGTTTCTCGAGGGTCGGTTGATCAGCTTTGTACCAGATTCACTTTCAGTAGGGAGAACGAGAATCATTATCTGTTAGATCAATTTCAAATAGTTGTTAGATTGTTTTCCATGCTAAGAATATATATATTTCAAACTAAAGCTATAGCATTCTCAAGCCATACCTAGCTAAAACTAAAAGTGTCTAGCTAGAGTATAGAACTGGAAAACTAGATCAAGATTAAATAAACGTTTATTCTCTGTCTGTAGAAAGACAATTCATTTTGAGCCTTTCAGTAAATAATGAGCAAGTTAAAAGCAAATTTTTTTAGTTCAAATCATTCAGATAAAAAAGAAAGTAGGATTCTGGATTATTCAGAAGTGATCGCTCAGTGATAAAGGAGGTAGGGGTGCAGAGACAGCCATGAGGTTTGCCTAGAAGCAGCCAGCCACCCTTTAAAGAGTGCGTAATAGCTCAATGATCGCTTCTTCAAGTTGTTCTCCATTTCTAAGTTCGTAGCCTTCGCAGTAGCTTCATCAATATTACCTACCAAATAAAAGGCACGAATGTGTATAATGAAAAAAATACATAGAATCAAAAAGGAGTGAAATATTCTCATTATGAACTGGGCGGGGCTAGTGTTTTTACAATAAATCTCTAGGGGCGCGAGACAACTCTCTCTAAGGAATTCGGCAAAATAGCCCAGTAACTTTGGGAGAACGGTTGCCTCCTCACAAAGGGGAGTCGCAATGACCAGGCCCGGACAACTGTTTACCACACCTATGGGTACATAAGAAATGTATTGAATCAATTCTTGTTAATGAATAGATCCGATCGCAAATTCAAATATGGAATTGAAAGGGATCAAATAGAAAATGATACTCTGGAAAAAAAAGACCAAATCAAATCATATAGTTTGGTCCGGATATATACCAAAATCAAATGTATTATGTGATGTTTTGATCTCTTGATCTGGTATAATCCAGGCTCCAGTGTATCGGACCAGGCAGTGAACCCAACTCACTTCCCATTTTGTGTTAGTAGTCCATACGGCCACTCTCCATGCTCTTCAACGACATCCAAACCTCAACCCCACAAACCACACTATGCTAGAGTAGAGACAATTAAGTCTTCATATGACATTAATTATCTTAATGTTTACGTTGTTATGGTGGAAGTTTGGTTACTCTCACCTTGTGTCTCTGTTATTTACAACAATTTAGGGTGTAAAAACTATGCATGCGTGTTGCAATATATGTTTTAAGGAAAAAATATAGATTTTATATAGCTAACTAATTCGGTGGATATAAACAAACTGTTCAGTTTGCTCAACAACATCTACTCTGATATACTATTTGTACATGTACTCGTTTTGGACATATGAAATCATAAAAACGATCATTTCATAAACGAAAACTTGTATTAACAAGAAATCAAATATACACAAAATGCACCTCAATAATGGGCCAAATGAAAATCTTTCTTATTTTCTTCCAACAAAGGAAGGAATTTTTTATTCCACACATTATGGAGATGTAGTTCTAACAGCACTATTTTAAGTCAACTCCACTATAAATTCTTTTCCCAAGTCACTTAAATTTCTCAAAATTCAACTTCATCGAGGTACTTCCTTCCTTGGGGACCCTTATTGCCATATGCCAAAGGCAAACAATTGCATCCTTATACAAAGATACGATATGTGTAGTGATAATGAGTGGTCGGCAAAGCAACAAAAAGTGGAATAACGAAAGAAAATGATAGAAGACTCTCTAAATAATATCCCTCCAATACATACCTCCCCAAAACCATACACTACCACAAAAATAATAAAGAAATTCCCAAACAAATAAACCCTAAAAATGCCCCAACCATATTTTCTTGATTCCACTTCAAATAATTTTTCTTATAATCTAATTAATAACCTCCACGTACACTAGCAAACCAATCCCACATAATCATCACACCACTAATCAATTATTTTTAATAAAAAAAATTGTCCTTTCAAAAGAATCAAGCCACTAAACATGATCAAGCTTGACGCCAAAACCCAACATTAAAAAAAAGAAAAGTAATAATACCCACTTGTGTTTGAAGAATTTTGTTGCTTTTTCCACCCACTCCTTTCCCCTTCTCTCTCCCAATATATAAATCTCCATGGTTTTGGCCTCCATGATTCCTCACCACTCTTGGCCTTCCTAACCCAAAACAAGAAATTCCCTCCATCTCTCTCTCTCTCTCTATCTCTCTTCCAACTCAAGCTCAAGGAAAAGAAACTTGCAACTAGTGAAACCATGCAAGAGAAGATGAAGGTGAAGAAAGGTTGGCTAGCGGTCCAAGTTGGCTTGGAAGAAGAAGACCGTCGTCAAGGTTACGACACATCGAGAAAATTCGTGATCCCAATCTCTTACCTCTACCATCCACTCTTCAAAAACCTTCTTGACAAAGCCCACGAAGTGTTTGGTTACCACGCCGCCGGCCCGCTGAGGCTGCCTTGCTCGGTGGATGACTTCCTCCACCTCCGGTGGCAGATTGAGAGGGAACCCGACCACCACCACAGCCACAGCCACCGCCACCACATCCACCGTGGCGGCAGCAGCAGCAGCCACCACCACCACCATCATCTCCTTCCGACGGCGTTTTCCTTTCACTCTTGTTAACTAGATTTTCCTTTTTTTTTTTTTTTTTGCCCCGAATATATTTACATATAGAGAGACACGTGGTGGTCACCACTTGGCGTCTCGTTTTGGAGAGGTCGAAAAAAAAGGGAATAATTCCATTGCCTTTTGGTGGTCGTTTCAAGCAATTTCCCCCAATTAGGGGGGATTTTCTTGTTTTACAAGCGATGTTGGTCGGAGATTCCAACTTATAATTAGGGTGGGAGAATTGATGAATATATGTACAAAAGTTTAGGCCATTATACCCATTATGTGCTTCTTTCTTCTTCCCTATACCTGGTTTTTTTTTTTGTGGGTGTATGGATGAATGGATGATTGGTCTCCCCCTTTGGATTGTGGAATTGTAATTTTTTTTCAAGTTAATTTTGGTGTGTGGATGAGATCTCTTGTTTATATAGTTAACACAATCGGTAATCAAGGAAGTTGGATGTTGGGTTCTTGGCAAATCGATGATATGTTGGGTTTCTAGACCCAAATTTATTCTGTGATGGGTAGACATCGCAAATGGATGGGTGGATTGGATTGACCGGTTGATTCATGGATTAAGTTCGATTGATTGGCGGATTGGATTCATGGATCAAAATGTAAAACTAAAGTAGTTCGAGTACTAAAATTTATGTATCAAATTATAATTTTTTGAGTGATTTTTTCTTTAAAGTAAAAAATTAGATAGCAAAATATGAAATATAAAAATATATAGATACTAAAGTTTAATTTTTCAAATATACATGAAACCAGTTAATAAATTCATAATTGAATTTGGATTACAAGGTCAATTACAAGGCCAATTAGATAGACCACAAGGTTGATTACGTAGATCACTTATTTTTCTGTAGAAATATTGATGATAGGTTTTGTAGAATTTTGTCAAAGTCTCGACCAATAGTAATTTGGGTGAAGTCAATGAAGATGTCAGAAACCAAAATAATGAACATAATGATGAGGACATTCAAGAAGCACAAAATAAGGTTAAAACTCTAAATGTGAGTTGTTAAAACTTAACAACTTAAAAAAGATTAATTGTTCATATTTTACATCGAATATCTATCAAGCAGTAACATTACATTCTAAACTTCTAAGTCGTATAACCTTAATCACATTAAATCTTAAATCACTAAAATACTAAATCGTAGAGCTTAATAGTCTACCCTAAACACCAAAACCTAAACAATGAACCTTAGTACCTGATATTCTAACCTTAGAGCAAAACGTAAAACATGAAACTCCCTAAATACTAAATCGCATATCTTAAATCATATTCCTTGAACCCCTCAAAGTCTAATACCCTTAACTTTAATCGCTGAACCATGGACTAACCTTTTGGCTTGCAAGCCTTGAATCGAGCTTATCCAAAATCCTAAACTCTAACACTTGAACCCTCTATTTGGACTCTAACCCCTACAACAATAAACCTAAGCGCTTAGCATCCTGCAAAATTTAAAATGTCTTAAGATGATGCTCGAAAATTCGAGATCCAAACTTTTCTTTCACTTTGAACGACAATTTCGCTTAAATTTGATCAAAATTGCAGGTTATTTATCCCTTAAAACTAGTACTCTTTAACGTTATCTTGTGGATTGATTCATCTCGATCAGGGGGTTAGGTTTTTTATTACCTATGAATGTATATCCTTTTTGTGTTTTAATTAATTTGACAAATAAATTATGGGCTTCAATTTTATATCCATGCTTCTTTGGTATTGTGTTTATTATGCTCATATATTTCGCTTTTGGAGTATTCAATGTCTTCATCAGAGTTACCAATCAAAAAGTTTGTAAAACCCTGCTAAACTAAGCACTAATATAGTTTCATACAAAGAAGAGATCTACTTAATCGAGTTTGTTGACAATGTGGTCGACCTAATTATAGCATCAGAGTACTAATTCGATATTTGGGGGAATCCGTAAATTTTGAGAAAGAAAAAGAAATGAAGCGGCTCACCTGATGGGTCACATTCAGTGTAAATGAGAAGAGTCGTCGGAGGTCCGGTTAGATTGGCCTCCCTTTTTTAGTCCTGAGCTTAATTAATGACGAATGGTCCCGAATTATTGAATTAATGAAATTTCATATTGATGATATGAAAAGAACACTAATCCACAGTGAAAAGATTGATGTGTTCATGAGATACCCTCAATCAGCCTTTTGGATTGATAGAAGTACTGTTAGCAAAGCTGATTTCATTAAATTATTGAGGAATTAAGATAGAAATTCATGTGCACAAACAGAAACTTCGCACAGCTTACTGCTTAATCTTGTCGGGGGGAACTTTAATTTGATTTATATCAATACAAAAGTTAACAAAAAAAAAAGGTTCGAACTTATTAGGTTATCAACAGAAAAAGAGATGATGTCGAAAGAAAAAAAGAAGGAAAAAAGAAAGAAGGCAGAAGTAGAGACCCAGCAGCCGTGGACCCAAGCAAAACGCAGGATGGAAAATGGAAAAGCCCACTGACTGACCCATAGGAAAAAACCAAGAAAAAGTCGCATCAAGAAAAGACCCATAATTTAAGCGCAAGTAAGGCCCACTATCAAAGATGGCCATAGCCCATTGCTCGACCTCCACGGACTTAAATCTCGACAGATTCCCAAGCCTTACTGTCACGGTCCTTGAGCCTCATTGGTGACAACTACTCGACGGCAATGAATGACAGAGTGGAGTAGAAATGGGTTGAACAGTTGAAGAAGTTCAATGTTTATGATACTGTTTTCGGACGAGGAAAAACTTGTGTTTGAACTAACAGATACATATTCAACTTGTAACTGAAAACACCAATTCGTCCCGACCTTGTAGTACTTGGGCTCCACAAGATCCCACTTTCTCAAACGATGAGTTACTTGCCATCAAACATCACACCTCAACCAATAATTACATTGATCACAACCAAAATTAAACATTTCATCAGATGAAAACTAGCTAAGAAGAGAACCCTCTTCCAACCCAAATTACGGTTATGAACAGCAAGGCCATCGTAGCACCAGACTTCATAAACAATGAGATCGTCCTGCCAGCAAAAACAAACCCAGTTCGCAATCGATCAATCATAGCTAAATTTCAAAGATGACAAATACTACGAAGTACTGTGTACGTAGACAGTAAAAGGGCTTTTAGGAAAGAAACCAAACCTTGCCCCATTCTGCACATCCTCAACAAGTTCATCCATGGTCATTGGAGCTACGTAAAACGGTCCGTAGTGGCCGCGTGGACGCTCAATCCAAACTCTCCCACTGTCGTCTTTCACAGCCTTTCCTTAATCACATCATGCAACAATGGAGATAAGGAACCACGCCAACAGATAGAGCATTTAAACTAGGAATGGCAATGGGGTCATCAGGTCCGGTTCGGGGAGGGTATCTCGATACCCATACCCCTGTCCCGTGGTAGGTCGGGTACAGGTCGGGTAATATATTATGGGGCGCGGATCGAGGTAGGTCGACCCAATGAGTATGTAATTTATGTGAAAAATATTAGAAATACTTGTTATTATTTTCATTAAAAGACCAAGAAAGAAACCGTTATATGATAAAATTGTAGTTAAATTATTGGAGAAATTGAGTATATGAGGTAATAAGAGGAAAATCTAAGTAATTTGACTAAGATTATATGTAATTTAGACAAGAATGGGTCGAGAATGGGGCGGGTAAGCGCAAGTCGCGGGTCGACGAGAGGTACCCATACCCATATCCACTCTACCTACGGGGCGAGTCGTACCAGCCCAAAACAGGCCAAACAGATGGGGTAAAACACTTCAGGTTGAAATTGCCATCCGACAGCTATTTATGCTGTTACTGCATGCAAGCTAAGTATTTGAACTTCAGAAACAATACATTCGTACCTTGCCGACTACGGTTAAAGAGGTACCAGTTGGGAGGAGCCACACCATTCGCTTCACTCCAAAAATCTGCAACAACAACAACAATGTAAATTGAAGTCCTTAATTAATTAACAAAGCTCGAATCGTATTGCGGTTAAAAAGAGAAGCTGCAAATTATAATACCTTGGGGAGTACATTTGAAAGGGTATCGGTTGAGATCAGCAGACTGTCTAGTACTCTAGTTCAGTCACTTCAAGCGACTGAAAAAAAAAAAACAATGTTTTGGATTCCTTAACAAAGCTGGCTGGTGATCCGAAAATGGTGAAGTGGTACATATATCTTAAACTACAAGAGAAGCTACGTACGTACTGCTACAAACCTTGATCAGTTCTGCTGCCCTAGCAGACTTTTGAAAGGCTTCCCTTTTCACGGTCAAACGGAAACGAGAGGCACCACGGGCTTCGCGGACGAAGACACACTGACCAGTTCCATCATCCTGTGGAAGAAAATTTGTTGATGCATTGAATCAAATATATTAGGGGAAGGAGAAGGGTTCTTCTTCCTAGGGTTTACTAGGACATGTATGAAGGTGGTGTTCTTCTGAGTTAAAAGACGAGAGAAACCAAGGAGATGAGATAGGGTTTGAGGTCTCTCTCTCTCTCTCTCTCTCTCTAATTCAAGAGCAGGAGTTTCCTTGGGAACAAACACAAAACACAAAAGAAAACTAGTCAAAAGTCTGGGACACTAATCTCCCCGATTACACTTCTAGGTCGCCAGAATGTAACGCTTCTCTCTAATAGGGTTTGAGGGTTTGAGGGCTATCTCTCTAATTCAGGAGGACGAGTTTCAAGTGCAGTAAAATTCGCTATTCTATGTTGAAGTGTATTGGTGTCTGGTGATCTAAAAGCATAAAAGTGTAAACTTTCAACATGTGTAGATTTTGACTATACGTTTGTAAGTGAAAATGACGATTCAACATATACCCGTTGTGGTCACCTACAACTGTAAAATCATAAACTTTCTAAAATTTTAAATCGCGATTTTAACATTATTATTGCTCAGAACTAACCTAATTGCTGCTGACGTAGTAGTAGGAGAAAGTAGTCTTGTTCTTAAAACACAAGTTTTCCCTAATCAATTACTACTTGTCATATAAGAACATAGACCCTG